TCTGAGAGGCCCTGGGATCACACTAAATGCTTTCCCTAGCTGCCCCAAATGCTGTCTTGGATGGTTTTTAGTCAATAGCGCGATGAGTGATTTAGGAATTGAGTAAGACAGGTTTAACGCAATAGGAGTAGAGCATGGGCTGGCAGCAGACCAGGCTCCTAACCTCTCACGCAATGCTGTTGCTATTGATTAATCATCCACACGAAGGTGGCAAGATACTGAAGGAGAAGGGGAAGGGTGGAGAGATGGGAGAGATGGTTGACATTTTCCAAGTCCAAGTTTTCTAACAGGCTGGTGGGAAGCCAGAAAGGCACTAAAAAGTCACAACTGTTCTGCCTCTGGCCGTACAAGGACTTGCTCTGGGCCTGGATTTGCCATTGTTCACAACATGGTATATGAACATGGGAATTCAGACACAGCCAGGGTGTCAAATAGCTGAGGGAGCTCCAGTTAAACAAGGGAAGGGCTGACTGGGGAGAGGAGAGTGAAGGTACCCGACCTGGAGCATGACAACGTCAGGCTCTGCTCAATTCCCAATTTGCCTGGAACTCCTTTGAGTTTACATTGGGTTACTGGACTAGTGGGCTCACCATGTCACACAACCCAGTATTTAATCCAATAATTCATTGTGATTTATGAAATGGTGACACCAGAATTTACAATTATGCAAAGTGACATGGAAAGGCTGGCTTTACGCGTGGTGGCCTTTGACCTAGACAAATATGCAAAAATCACATTGTCTCTGTTAAAGGCTCAGAGCGCTCCTACCTGCCTTCAAGTGGGACTAGCAGAAGGTCAGAGCTTGGGGAGGGAACAACAAGAACTCGTAGGGGGCTTTTGAAATGTTTTCTCATTATCTATGTGTTTGAACAATTGGTGTGTCTGGGATGAAGGGGTGATGACTCCATCCTCACCCCCAAACTGGGGAAGTTAGTGCTGTTCTGCTCTCCCATTTTTGGATGCCTTCACAAGAAACGCCTACGGTTAGATTTCACTTGTTATGTAAGTGACTCCTCTCAAATGTAAATATCCCTGGGAAAGTTAAGAGACTCAGCAATTCACATATTAGTGTGAAATGGTTTAACCTCACAGCTTTTCTCCTAACACCTCTTGATCATGGGACACCCAGAGGTTTTTCAAGGGGCTGGGGGAGAAGAGTAGAAGGAACTAGAAATGGATTATGTATTTATTTAGGGCATACCGCACTGGGGAAGACCTTGGGTGAGATGTGAATTAGGGGTGATGAAGGAAGAGATTGGAGTAGAAGGGTCATTAGAAAGTAAAAGAAGTGCTCTGCAAGGAAGATAGAAAGGTTTCTGAAAAAGGGTGTTTTTTTGTTTTGTTTTACTCTTTGACTGTATGTCTGGGATGGGTATGTGTGTTGAACTATTTGAAAATCATACCCCACACATCTGGGTGAGTGAAGCAGAGCTCACCCAGTAGGGGAGGAACCAGAAACACTGTTAAGCCCCTTCCTTTCCTATGAGGCTACTCTATCCTCTGCCCAAGAGGTCTTCAGGCATAACTGTAGCCTTTCCTGCAGGAAAAGCAGGACAGCTGCTATTAATTTAATGACACCCACTCTGGGTGGCATTTATTGAGCCTTATGTGTAAGGCACCTTCCTAATAATGCCCCAGCCCTACACACACTCGCCCCGACTCCCCCCTTTCGAAAAACCCGACCACAGGATTCCCAGGCAGCGATGAAAGCCTCCTCCGTTCATCAGAAGAGGCCAGGCCTCCAGGTGGCCATGGGAGGCCCCGGCCGAAGCCAGCTGCCCTGGCATTTGTTTTCTCTCCGTATGATTCCGAGGCTGACGCTACGCAGGTTGCTACAGAACGGCTCGAGGCAAATGTAAATGCCCATTAGAGCGTTTAAAGCATTTTTTTTTTTTCAAAACGAGGGAAGAAGGGAAAACAGACAAAGAAGGACCTTCCTGCTGCCTTTATGATTTTTACTTTTATTTTCCTGATTCTCCGAGCACCAGGAATGGGAAGCATTTGCTTCTGTATATCAATGAACTCAGGGCACACGAATAAAATGAGGCAAAAGAACACTTAAAAAAAAAAAGCTATTGCCCCCAATTGCATCAGCTGCACATGGAAAGGAAGTAAAAGAGGATGGGTTTCCAGGGCATCTGTGGGAGAGGAGACAAAAGCTCTCTCCTCGTCGCTGCAAATGGTGCCTTTCCCAAATTGCTTTTCAAGTTTCCCTCCTTGAAATGTGAAATGACTTCGTCTGAGCACTCTGTGTGGGATCGATGGTGTTATATATGCAGCAGCTTTCCGCGGGGCTGTGGCCAGGCTTCTGGGGAGGTGAACAGGGGAGCGGGGAGGGGAGAGCACTCTGAGGCTGAGGCACCTTGCTTTCTTCTGCTTGAGAAATGCTATTCCAAAAATGGCTCCAGAAAATGAAAGGGGGGGAGGGAGAGGGGGGTGTGCGAAGAGAGAATGGAAACACTTACATTTTCTTTTTTAAAAAGTGGAAATTATTTACTTCACCTGCAAAGAAGAAATTGCCCTGAAAAGGGGAAAAAAGCCGGAAAGTACCCCAACCCCCCAACTGGGCTGAGTGCTGGGACAAACAAACAAAATGACTGATGTGCCCAGTAAATCGTCTTGGGGTGGGGGAAGGGTTTGAATAGAGGCGCAGGGAGAAAGGCGAAGCCAGGCAGCGTTCGCTGATTCCAGCAGAGACTGTAAGCAGCGAGGGGCCTGGGCTATGGGATCCATAATTGGCTAACGAATAATAAAGCCCAAAATTGGATATTAACAGCAATTAGTTTCTTTAGAGGCACTGGGGAAAAGAGCTGCAGAAAACCCCGTTGGGTCTTAAGCTGGAGCAATCTGAAATTAAACCAGTGTCTCAATTAAATGGGAATAAATATTGCCGCATCAATCTGTGGAAGTGCGGGAGGGGGCGGAGGGGAACCCCCTGTGAAGTCCAGGTGCCCCTTCCAGTGTGTCAGGAGCTTCCGGTGCCACGACCTTTGTGAGGCCCGGTCTGGTCCTGACCTCTGGCCTCTGAAGGCCAACGGCCCTCCCCCCCTTTCCTGGGGCACATGACCTTGAGACCAGGGCTCTGAAGGTTATTTCAGGGCACTGGCCTGTTAAGCCAAAGGAGCCTTACATCAGTAACTCTGCACCCTGGCGGGCCCAGCCGATGAGCGAAAAGAAGGAATGGAATTCTTTTAAAAACAGAGACCGTGTCCAGTGCCCCGGAGCGGCCGCCCCTGTTTGGGCTGGGACAGGAGCTGGGGTTTGGAGGTTCCCGAACACAGAAGGAGCCTGTCTGGTCCTCTCTTTCCCACCGGCGTTGAAGCGGCCCATCTCCTCTGGCGTAGGACGTGGGACCAGGTTGACTGAAGGAGATACGCGTGGGTTCCTCCTGGGTAGAGGGATTTGTTTGGGCTCCTTAAGAGAGGGATGTGGGGGTGGGAAGGACGCGTCTCTGGGGGCGATGGGTTGCTGGGTCCCAAGGGCAGCGGCCGGCGCCCTGGCCCTGTCGCCGAGGGTTAGGAGGACCGAGGAGGTTGGGTGGTGTAAAGGGGAGTCAGGGAGGATGCACTGGGGCGAAAAAACCTCCTCCGTATCCCCCAAACCACTACAGTGCTTTCATCCTTGCGTTCTGCGGGAGGGGGCCAGGGAACGGCTAAGATGTGACTTCGGTGGGTCGTCTCCCCTCGCCACCTCCTCCCTCGTGGGCCCCGCGCATCCGCCCCTGTGCTCGCACAGTCGGAGGCTTTCTGGGGTGCGGGGTGCTGTCCTCCAGGCTCAGGTCCTGTCGTGGATGAGAAGGCCCGGGGTGGGAAGAGGGGAGGAGGACAGACGGTCCCGGAGCGCAGCGGGGAGGACGCGGCGTCTAGGCCGAGGCCTGCGCTCGGCTCGGGAGGACATTCATTCTAACAAGGCCTTTGGTTCGTCGCCTGCCTTCTGAAGCCAAAGATGCACCCCGCCTTGACCCACCCCCCATTCCTAACCCGATTCCCTGGTCAGGTCCAAAGGTTGTCGCCAGGTGTCTATTTGGCGCTAGAGTGAAATTGGGGAAACGGAGATGCGCGGAACAGGAAAAAAAGCTGGACTCTCCGTGGGCTGTCCTTGCCCTTGCACCTCGTATCAGTCCGGAGCTTTGAGAAGTGATGGATGACCCAGGTCTTTGGGGTCCCAAATTTCTTGATTTGGGCAAGAAAAAAATTAATCAAAGCCGGGAAAATAGGAGCCAAAAAGAAAGGGAAGCCAGCGCCTGTTCATCTTCATCTTACTCAATTTAGATGTCTCAGGGCATTCCGAGAAAGAAAACAAAGGCCTCATGCGCTTTGGAAAGCTGGTCCCTGGGAAGCCCGAGAGGGGACGGTGGGCAGGGTGGGTGGCAAGGGTGAGCCGGGCACAACCCAGGGGCAGGGCCCAAGCACTCTGATCGCCACCATGAACTGCTTTAAAAACATTACACGAAGCAGCAAACTTAACTTCCTGAGAGAAGATTGCTTCCTGGGTCCCCTGGTTAAGAACTAAGTAAATTAGATTTTAATTTTAAATGAACCTCCCTCACTTTTGAGAAAGCCCTTTGTGATTCCTGGAGCTTTACTTTTTGAGCTTATGCAACGCAATGCAGCATGACCCAGGTCTTCTTTTTTTTTGGGGGGGGGGGTTAACATTTGCATTTTAAGACAAAAGAGAAGGTTAAGAAAATGAGCAGGTGAACCGATTGAGAATTACCGACACTTCCTTTCTGACCTGGAACATTCCTTGCTCCGGGAGGGCCTGCTTTCTTTCCAGGCCATCTAAATTTGGCGCAGATCTCTCCAGGCCTCTGGCAGACCCGCATTCCGCATTCCGCGGCCCAGGACAGCACACATTGGCTCCCAGAAAGCCCATCTGAAGTCCTTTCTCCTATCCTATGTCCACACAGGAGATGCAGTTAAAGACTACATCTCCGTATCCTAAAACTGAAGTCAAATGGAGTAAGGCTTGGCAAAAACACCCAAAGAAAGAATTGTCGATTGGAAGAAAAAAAAAATCTTTATTAGGTATCATCATTCTCATAATTGTTATTATTGACATACTCATCACCCTGAATCAGCCAGCCAAGCCTCCAACACACAGGCTCCAACACAGCCCTCAGCTGCTGTTGACTCATGGGGTTCTGAAACCACCCACAGTATAGAGGAAGGGCGGCTCCATCTGTCCCAGGGAGAATGCTTTGCAGCTGCCCCCAGAGAACTCCATTCTCAGGTTGGAACAAGGGGTGGGGGTGTTATGTAAGTTCAATCGAGGGAAGGACAAAATTTATTTCCCTGTGGAGACAGTATCGATGGATGGGTGTGTGTGTGGCTAAATGCTTTTCTGTAAATATTAGCAAGGGGTATGGTTATGCGGAAAAAAATGTATGTATGTATGTGTGTGTGTATATGCGCATATGCCTGCTGAGAAATTACCCCTCTCCCAAACATTTCTCTGGCTAAGGTTCCTCATGCGTCCACAGTTAACTGTCCCCACCTTTTAAACCCCTTTGGTGACAGAATTGATAGAGGAATTTACCTTTGTCTCTGATTAGTTTTCTTTCTGCTTAAACAGAGATCTGGGCCTGGGCCATCACTGGCAGGGAAAGAAGAATATTACCATTTTTTTTTTTTTTTTTACTTTGAATCCATCTTAAAGTATCTGGTACATTCACCTTGAGAAACAGGAGCTCCCATCCTCATGAGGACATGAGGACCATAATGATGGTACCGTGTGTGAGCCGGTGCGGGCCTTCCTAGCATATTGTCAGCAAACCGCCTCCGACATGTTCTACATTAAACAAATCGTATATGTCCCCCTTCACTTAAATCGTTGGATGTAATTAGAGAGGCTCAAATAGGGAAAAAGATGGTGCTGCGAGTTACATAAATGCCTCGGAAAAGCAGCGCTCTTTAAGTCTCTTACATAAATATTGCAGACGAATAGGCCCCAAATGTAGAAGAAGGGAAGAAGCCAGGACTGACCTTCACTCCAAAACCTCTATTTGGAAATCACAAAAGGGGCCTTGGAATTACACAGGGGGCAGAGTGGTACATTCATCTTGGCCATTTTCGGCCATGAAAGCCCCACATAAAAACACATTGTGTAATGAGACCTGGTGAGCACAGGACAATCCCCACACACATTAAAGCTTTCTGAAAGCAAGAGTTTACATAAGTAATAAAGAGACGTCCCTCCCATGGCAGATTACTGGCAGCAGGACCCTGGCCATCTTGTCCATGGTGCCTGCGGTTTCAGCTCTCAGGGAGAAGTGTGTTAGGCTTCCAACTAAAAGGGACATTACTTGAGCAGGCACATCAGCAAAGGGTGCAGCCATGTCTGATGGAATTACGGGCAAGCAATTACGGAGACGAGGCTCACTAATGTGGACAACTGAGGGGCAAGCGGTTGGTCATCATGGGCCACCAGCCTCTCAGCGAGGAGGGAGGGGAGAGACCAGGGAAGGTACACCCCAAGGAGGCACTGTTTGGAGGGAGGTCTATTTTGCAGGCAGGGCTGCCAGTGCCTCTTAGGACAACCCTGGCTAAGGCTCAGGGGCCAGTGAAGCTCACCTTCTGGGGCTTGAGGAACAGCCCGCACCTACAGTTTGCACGATGTGAACTGCAGCCTTCCCCGCAGGGGTGAGCAGTTTGCCACACCTTTCTGCAGGCCCAGAGAAGGTTCTGGAAATATCTAGGTGGGGTCCGGCACACTTAACCTCGCCAGACACCCTCTTAGGAGGGCAAAGGAAGAACATCAGAAATATCAATTACACGATGATTGGCACATAGTAGGTACTCAATAAATATTTGGGAGGAAATGAGGCTAGGATATCCTTGAATACTAATTTATTTAGTGGGTTAGGCTGAGGCTCTGGAAAGGAAAGAGCTCCTCAGTAAGCTACAACGGAGCCTCTTTGGCCTCGATTACTGTGTAAGTAATCAAACTAAAGTCCTAAGCATCCTTATGGCCTTGGCCTTGCAAAGACAGGCCTCTGCTGCTAAGGGCATGGGGGGCGGGGGCGGGCGGACGGGTCAGGAGGAAGCGATGCAGCAGGCTTCCTGGGTAGGAAGATCCAGCTCTTGGCCTCCTTTCTCGGCAGGGACCTGCCCCTCCTCCATGTTCTCCACCAGAAAATTAATGAGTTTAGGTCTTGCCTTCCACCGCAGCTTGGGGGTCACCACAGAGCAGGAGATGGGGTGGGGCTGTGTGAAGGGGGTCCCTAGGACCAGCTGCTGCTCTAGGTCCAGTGATGGGAAGGTCCCATTTGGGAAGCCGGTTCTTGGGGATGAAGGACGGTTGACCCTTTGCATTCCCTGATGCCTTTTTTTTCAAAACAGACTTTCCTCAGAGCCTCACTTGTACACATTCTGTTTTTTCCTTCCGTTAGGATTTTAAAAGGAATGCCCCCCCGGCCCCCCCCCCGCCCCCGCGTAGGTTACTGCGCCTCTCCCTTCTTTCGCATCTCTTGGATCTCTGCCTAAAACTGCAATTACAGCCACAAGGAGGAAGTGAGAGGCTCCCGAGAGCCCTGGCCATGCTTTCAGCCCTGATGGAGCCTCGGACCCACCAGGAATTCGTTCCTTCTTCCCCATAGATCCCAATGACTTCCTTCAGCTAGCCAGGTGCCCACAGCTCTACAGCAAAAGGTGACAAACATCTCCCTCCTCCCTCCCAACGGGCTCCCTCCCTCCCTCCCCCCAGATCTCAAGCAGAACACAATATAGCCGCAGTCCGAGCCCTGGCACAGCCGGCCAGTCTTCTGGATGCCAGGTTATTTTTAAAAAGAGCAAACCAAAAGCTAAGCCCGGAACAAAAACACAGCCACGGAGAAAAGGGTCCGCCCGCGTACAATGCACCCCAAGCCTAGAGAAAAATAGGCACACAGAAGCACTCCGCAATGCGCTCACAGGCACCCCGCCTCCCCCACCCCCACCCCCCTTCGGTGCTCGCACAAATCTGCGCTGGTCACAGAAGCGGCTTCGGTTTCTCTCCCCGAGTCCGTTCGCATCTCTCAGCCCCGTCTGTCACACATCACACACCTCCCCGCGCCCAGGGCTCCTGCCGCCGGGC